CCAGGGCCCGCCGCGCTCCCCTCAGCCTGGAGCTCGTGCCCCGCGCGCTCTGCCCCACACCCCGGAGCCCGCCTCAGGCCACCGCCTTCCCGCCTCGCTTCCTCCTTTCTCTTCCGTACCCCGAGCCCCGCCTCCCCCGTCTTCATTCCCAGCAACCCCGACCGCCAGCGAGGGTCGTGGTCCCTTTGCCTGCCACGCCCCCGCCCCTCAAACACAAAGAACCCCAGATCCCACCCCAGTCAGCCGTCCGCCCGCACACACGGCGCGCCCGCGCAGCCGGCTGAGGAGAGCCCGCTAACCGCCACGTCGGCTCTCGGCGCCGGCCAGACCCCCGCCGACGTTATCCGGGAGCCGAGGTTCTGAGCCCCTGTTCAAAATGTCGCCTCTGCGACGATTCAGTCGTCATCGAGGAGAGAACCCGGTACTCCCTTCCCTGCAGGACAGCGGAGCCGACAGTGTGAAATGCTAAGGCTCCTCGCTGTCCCCGCTGTCCCCGGCTGAAGAGCGCCACGGCGTGAAGAAGGGTCTTGGGGAAGGTTATTTAACAGCAGCACAAAGCTCAGTGTAAGCTCCGAGGAACCCCAGCACGGAAAACCGTTTCCCTCCACTTAAAGAATTAGGAACCCTGTGCGTCTTCACTCTGCCCGAACGAGACTAGTGCGGACCTTCAGGCTCTAGGGTTCAGGGCAGCTTGGCCAAGTACGGAAAGAAGATGATTGAAAACAAATTCTGGATACTTAGGTTCTACCTGTGTATTCACGCTTCCAGTAAGCGTGCCTTGCTCAGCTTCTTACGTACTTGGCAACCATTCCAATTAGAGAGCTAGGTAATATTGACCAGAAATCAAAATGTCTTTGAAGACCCTATCTTCATGAGTATCATCGTCTTAGAGATCATGTATATGTGTTGGGATCTCAAAGTATCATTCTTAAATGCAGAGCTAAGAAAATGTTATTCATGATTGCTGGAAATGAACTTGAAGACTTTGCAACTTGAATATGCAAATTTTTTACACTTACAAAAGTTAAAAACACGTAAATTACTGATATCTTCTGTTTTTTTTAAATACCAAATTACTTCTTTTGCCTAGGTCCCTATGTTGACTAGTTGAGAAGAAAATAAATATGGCCTTCTACAGTTATAATTCAGTCTTAGCTATTGCCCGAACAAGGTAAGCATTGAAGTTGGGCTCCCAGTACGTATATGAACTTCATTCTTCTAGATGGAAAGAATATGTGTGAAAGGATTGGTTTTTAGGAGGCTGAATTTTTAATATACTTAAACTTACCCAAAATGTTCTATATGCTTTAGAACTCAGACTGAGTAATTTTATAGATGTGTGGTACTGGTAAGATAGAAGATGTAATGGTTTTAGAGTGACACCTGTGTAATCAATGAATGTTATATTAAGTCCTTAGATGTAAAAAGGAGTAAAATGGCTGGTGAACAATCATCCCAGGGCATATTCTTGTCCCATTAACTGTTATTTATTTATTCAGAGAATATTCACTGAGAACTTCCTATGTGCCAGATACATCTTACATTTTCCCTTTTGGCCATCCAAAGAGTGTTTTACATTGGCATGCTTCAAAATAGTCTAAAGGAATGGAAAAAAGCCATCTCTTTGCCAAAAGAAGACTCTTTGCCAGTAACTTTCTTTGCCTGGATCTCTCTCATTTTTATTTCCAAACAATCTGATGTGCTAGCTTAACTGGAGATTGTGGGCTGTTAGAATTTGAGAATGTGGACACCCTTGGCTGGGTGCCCAATTTTCATCCTCATTTCCAAAGTTCTGGAGGAAGCTTAGGTGAAGGGCATTTCAGCTGTAAGAGTCTTTTGTTTGAGGGGGTCCATAGGCACTACCTAGACAAAGCAGGACTATATGATTGGTTAATCCCCACAGGGACCATGAAGTGTTTCATTAAAACAATATTCCTGTTATCAGTAGAGTGGCTGAAGATACAAGTCTTCCACCTGTTTTATGTTATTAGACAGAGACAGCACTGTCTAATATAACACCTGGTGAAAAGATGTTTCCTATTAGATTTTCAAATTAATCATCACAGAGCTTCTGTCTTCTAATATAGCAGTTTATTCTTAGGAATGAACATTAATGTTTCTCAGAGTATATAATTCAGCCATAGAGCATAGTGTTCTCCAACTGGGGTAAAAAGTTAAATTTCATTCATTAACGAACATCAGCTGCTCCTAAAATACAGGCTTAAAAACCATTGTTGTACTTTAAATAGATGAAATATCTCTTTCTTTGACTTTTAAGTTTGTAGTAGCATGTGTTCAACTCAGAGGATGTTGCTCTTTATTCCAGATTCTCTAGCCATTTCGTCCCTCCTACCTGCTCTCGTTATTCCCCATCACTTGCATTTCTTCACTTGCCAGATTTCCATTTAAATAAGACACATATGAAGAACTATGGAAGCAAGAGGTACTCCTACCCTAGTCGGTTAGGCGGTAAAGTACTTCATTTACAAACTAGACTCATACAAAAGCTGCATACATCAACTTGCTGGCTACAAGAGGTCCCTCGTAAACCTCAGCTGGAGCAAACCACAGAAAAGACACAGATGACAAGCCCTCGGCCCACAAAAGAAACTGGCACAAAGGTTAAAGATGGAAAGCCGCCTTTTAGACAAAAAATCGTGGATGAACTTAAATATTATTACAATGGATTCTCTTTACTTTGGATTGACACCAAAGTTGCTGCCAGAATGGTTTGGAGGCTGTTGCATGGACAGGTGCTGACCAGACGAGAGAGACGAAGGGTAGGCAAGAATCATATTTGAAAAAGAAAATGTGAAGTTAAAGTGAACTATTTGGGAACCAAGTTTTAAACTCAACTTAAATCATAAAAATCCCAAAGTAGGAATAATAACTGCTGGTGAGAACCAGAGTTTTTTACTAAATTTCTTACTTTTCTACAACTGAGTCACTGTACAACTTTAGGCAATAGTCTTAAATTTTTTATATATTAGCCTATAGCATGGTTATAATTGTGTTTTTTTTTTTTTTCCTTTTTGTCTTTTTTCGTGTCCGGCAACGGATCGCAACCCTCAGTGTCGCGCCCGTACCCGACCGGGACCGGCAACAGGATCGCAACCCTCGGTGTTCCGCCCACACCTCGCTCAGCCAGTGAGCGGGAACCGGTCTGTATGTGGGATCTGAACCCTCGGCGGGAGCGCCACCACACTCCCAAGCGGCGCACTGTAGCAGTGCGCCACCAGGCCGGCCCTATAATTGTGTTTTTTAATCTCTCCAAGGAATTGAGAGCCTTCAAGTTTGAACTGTTAATATATTAAGCATATGCATTTTAAAAACCAATTTTAACTGATACTATGTTATTAAAGTGTGGACCCCTAACTTATATAAGCTAAGAGATGCCAATAATATGTTTTGATTGTCATAGATTTCCTTGAATAATAAATATAATTTCAGAGGCATCACCTATTGTATATAAATAGTGACAGCTCTGTACCCCACAAATATGTATAATCAATTATGTTTCATTTAAAAAATAAATTAAGGGCCTGCCCGTGGCTCACTTGGGAGAGGGTGGTGCTGACAACACCAAGTCAAGGGTTAAGATCCCCTTACCAGTCATCTTTTTAAAAATAATAATAATAATAAAATAAATTTTAAAAATAAAATGCATCTAAAATACAAAATATGTGTATATATTACTTCAGAGCTATGGTGAAGAAGACAATCTCTCCTGTTCATTTTATAAAAAGCTGCAGAAAACCTCTTTTGAGTTTTTAACACATTAAGAACCAAGGCAGGCTTTTTTGTGTGTGTGGTTTCTTTTTGGGGGGGGGGCATATTCTAAAATAATAAATATTGCATATGTATTTAATTCTTTAGCTGTTGAGAACTTGTGCTGATTTCTTCCGCCTGGTTCCATTTATGGTGTTCATTATTGTACCTTTCATGGAATTCTTATTACCAGTGTTTGTGAAACTTTTCCCAGAGATGTTGCCATCAACTTTTGAAAGTGAATCAAAAAAGGTACGTAGAGCAGTTTTTAGGTTTACAGAAAAAATTGGGCAGAAAGTACAGAGTTCCACATACCACTCCCCCCACCCTGCCACTTTTCCCTATTATTAACATCTGGCATTAGTGTGGTACATAGTTACAATTAAAGAACCAATACTGATACATAATAATTAAAGCTAGACAGTTTGTGAAAGGTATTGTGGATAGAAAGAATAGCACTTAAAATGGCTCAACAGTGTAAGAGAGTATGGCATAGTTAGAGACCACTGACTGGTTTTTTGTGGTTGGAGTAGGAAGTACCAGGAGATGGATCAATGGCAGGAGACAGACAAAAGTGATGTGTTGGGGTCAGGTTGGAAAGCATCTACTACGCTAAGAAATTTAGCATTTACCTTTGACCGTGGTCAATAATGGAAGGTGAAATTTTAAGCAAGGGTGGGTAACATGATTAGATTTGTGTTTTAGTAAAATAATTTTTCTGGCAGATAGGATTGAGACCAGAGCCAAGGGAGGGAAATCAGCTGGAATGCTATTGCAACAGCCCAAGGGAGAGATGACAGAGCCTAGATTATGAAATTGACAACAGGAATAAAGACTTGAAGATAGATTGGAGATACATTCATTTATTTATGTTTGGCAGCTGGTCCATACAGGGATTGAACCCTGGACCTTGGTGTTATCAGCACCATGGTCTAACCAACTACGTGTGTTAGCCAATCCTGATTTGAGATACATTTAAAGAGTAAAATCAAATTGCAATGTTTAACTGCCTGGCAATGGTTTAATTTACTTACATTTAAAGTAATCAGGATCTAGAATTAATACCATAACATTACAAGGCAAGCGTTAGTAATTGCAGGGAGATGGGAGAATAGAGGAAGTGATTTCTGTAAATATTACCTCTTTCCCTAACACCACTCATTCCTCAAACATACACACACACACACACACTCACACACACACATGCACACACAGAGTACATCATGGCCACATTTTTAGAAAATACTTGTTTACTTTGTTTACTTTCTGTTTAAGTCAGACCACAGTACCATGCATTTCTCTTTCATAGCACTTATCCGTTATACTTTTATGTTAATTTGTAGAATTACTGCATTATCATTGGTCAATAATGTTTGTCTTTCCTGCTAAACTAGAAGTTCCGTGAGGGCAAGAATTCTTACCTGCTTGTGTTCATTTTATCCCCAGAACCTAGTACATGGTCAATGTTCATTAAATAAATGGATGGATGGATGGAAGGATATGGATGAATGAAGTGGATGGCTAGATGGGTTCTAACCATGATATTGCCATTGTGTGATTTTTTTTGCGGGGGGGCTGAGTCTTTTAGATCTCTCTAAAAGAGAGATTCATTAGAATTTCCTGGAAAACTTAAATACACACACACACACACACACACACACACACACACACACACACAGAGTCCTATTCTTCCCTGAATCCTGACCATGGTTATTTTGAAAATGCTACCATGCTGCATTTTTGATGATGAACAAGGATTAAGAAATACTTCAACATAGTGTCTTAAGCCTGTACCTTCATTCTCTGCTGTGTAGTGCTTTGTTCATATCTGTTATAGCACTTAACTCACTGTACTGTAATTAATTTTGTCTGTTTTTTATTCAAACTGTAAGCTAGGACTGGCTGATTAGCACAATTGGTTAAAGCATGGTGTTGATAACACCAAGGTCCAGGGTTCGATCCCTGTACTGGCCAGCCACCAAAGAAAAACAATTTAGAAAAAAAAACAACAACTATGAGCTAACTTAGAACAGAGTTAATTTCCTTAATTTTCTTTGTAAAGCAAAATCCAGGGATTGGCCAACTAGATGGTTTGTACCAGGTTGAGATAGTATCTCATTCTAAGTAATGATAAAGCCTCCAATTGAGGGAACATTTTAAAAAAATTTATCATTACACAATGTAAACAGTTTTTGTAGCCCTCTACCAATTTATCCCTCACACCCCCTCCCCTTTGAGGGAACATTTTGGAACTATCAAATGCTTATGACTATTGTATTAGTGAGAAATAAAAGGTAAGATTAAGGAGACAGATTCCAAACAGAGACAACAGTATATTTGCTCTGGTTCTCATAAATCCCATTCAATAAATATAAACACATAGTTCAGTGATGAATAGTAACAAGGTGACTTTTCTCCCATCTTTATCTACCAAGTTGCAATAATGACGGATTGGTTAACTTTTTCCTCTTTGACTATTAAGGAAGAAAAGCAGAAGAAAAAAATGGCTGCAAAGTTGGAACTAGCAAAATTTCTTCAAGAAACAATTACAGAAATGGCAAGGAGGAACAGAGCCAAATTAGGAGATGCCTCTACACAGCTCTCATCCTACGTAAAACAGGTGTCAGTCTTTTATGTAATAGCAAATCTAATAGCAAACAACTTCTGGGCTAGGAGTTATAAGAAAAATGCATGTTATCATGGGTATTCTAAATTGTTCTCAGTCTTTGAAATCGCAGATATCTAAGTTATAAAGGTACAATATTGTAAGCATTTATAGTAGTTTGCAGAAAAGCCTATCTTAAAGTAATCAATGTGTCAAAGATGTTGATAACTTCTTGGAAAGAACAGTAGAATTAGAGTCAAATTTTTGGACTACTTCTGACTCTTCAGTTCATTTAATCGGACTTCAGACGGATTACTCTTCTTTGTACCACAGGGCCCTTTTCCAGAAACCAGATAGAGTCCATAAATGCTTTGACTCTGTTTCAAATAGTCTATTGGGAAGGTTAAAATAAGTAGGAAACACATTTTAATTAGCCTCTTTGTCCCACTGCCTAGGTCCAGACAGGCCACAAGCCTAGCACAAAGGAGATAGTTCGCTTTTCCAAACTATTTGAGGATCAGCTAGCCCTGGAGCACTTAGATCGACCTCAGCTGGTTGCCCTTTGCAAGCTGCTAGAGTTGCAGACCTTTGGAACCAACAATTTGCTCCGCTTTCAGCTCCTGATGAAACTGAAGTTGATAAAAGCAGATGATGAAGTAAGTGCTTAGCTGTAACTGTAGGGAATTAGCAAGGCACTGGGAGCTATCTTAGGGTGCCTTTGTGATGAAGTGTAGTATCTTCTGTTGGGTCTGGCCATGGACTGGTGCTGGTAAAATGTGTGGTTTAAACCAGCATGATTGCCATGACAGCTTGAACCTTGATTACTCATTTTAGCATTGTTTGGCATACCCTGACCCATTTTCTTGAGAAGGCCATCATAAGCAGTCAGCATTTTGGATGTCTCAGCTGGGACTAATCTAAAACACTTAGGACCTGCTGGGAAGGGAAAAGCAGCTCGGTAGATTCTACCCTTGGTAGGTTCTGTGAGGCTCTACCCTTACACCTCTGCTCCCCGAGCCTGGAGAGGAGGTGGGGCCAAAGTAAATGTTCTGCTGGGCAAGTTAGCCTGGTAAGAAGGGGTGGCAAAGCATAATTCTGGGAGGAAGAGCAGAGCTGAGACATCTTACAGAAGAAAGGCACCATGTGGACTATACAAATTAGACTCCTTAAAAAAAAAATGTAAAGAATGTTTCTTGAATCTGAATCAGCTGCTTTAAGGCATTCTGCCTGAGGGAGCAGGTTTCCCAGAACTGAAAAAGCACGATCCCATCGGTCCCATTTAGATTTCAGTCGTTGCTTTCAGAACTTTGAAATAAGCAATACTGGTCCCAGAAGTACCATAGTTTTGGGTCACACCAACCAGAAATTGTGTTATTTACTGAAGGAGTTTTGTAGCCAGAGAGTTAGGCCATTGCTGGGGCAGTGGAAGGGGAACGGGGGGACGAGCACTACTGGGACATGCAACAAATGGTACACTGAAGTCTTTTCAAGTAAAGTATTTTTTTTCTAATGAATCCTAAATTGCCCATGAAAGAGAAAAGGAGCAGAGATGTCACAAGCAGACAAATGCAAATCAAGAGGGGAAATCATTACTGAGTTGATAAAATTTGGGGGAGAAGTTGTGGAAATATTTCTTTCTTTTTTTTTTTTTTTAAAAAGATGACCGGTAAGGGGATCTTAACCCTTGACTTGGTGTTGTCAGCACCACGCTCAGCCAGTGAGCGAACCGGCCATCCCTACGTGGGATCCGAACCCGGGGCCTTGGTGTTATCAGTACCGCACTCTCCCGAGTGAGCCACGGGCCGGCCCGAAATATTTCTTATATTATGCCTGCTGACAGGATTTCCTTCATCTCAACTTCTACCTTCCTGAGTCACCTTGTTTTCTAGAGTCCTGGCCTTTGCAGCAGTCAGCACAGGGAACAAAGCATCAAAGCATCAAATTCTGTGTTTCTGCTGATTTGCTGGAATTTAGGGATTAGGTAAAATTGGAATCAAAAGATCCAACACTGTTCTTTACATTTCTTTCAGATAATTGCTAGGGAAGGAGTGAGGGCTCTCAGTGTGTCAGAACTGCAAGCTGCCTGCAGGGCTCGGGGGATGAGGTCACTGGGTCTCACCGAGGAACAGCTGCAACAGCAGCTCACAGAGGCGAGTAGCAGCACTCCCGGGACCTCTCCCGGAACTCTCTCCCTGACAATTTGTAGAACTCATCTTGTGATTTCTACTTTGCAAGTGAACCATCTTACCTAATCTGCATTATTTCATTAAGCCATGGGACACTAAAGAAGCTATTTTTCACTTTGACTGGGACAGAGCACTGTATTAGTTTTCTGTTGCTGCATAACAAACTACCACAAACTTAGTCACTTCAAACAACCATTTGCTAGCTCACAGTTCATTAGGTCAGAAGTGCGGGCTGTGTTCCTTTGGAGGCTGTGGGAAAGAACCCAGTTCCAAGCTCATTGGGTTTGTTGGCTGAACTTAGTTCCTTGAAGCTGTAGGTCCTTGTTTCCTCACTGGGCATCAGCCCCTGCAGGCCACCTGCATTCCTCACCTCTTGGCCCCCTCCATCTGCAAAGCCAGCACTGAGAACTTCTCACATGCCAGATCCCCCTGTTTTTGACCTCTAGCCCCAGATTTAAATGTCTTATGTGATTAGGTGAGGCCCACCCAGGTAATCTCCCTATCTTAAGGTCAACTAACGAGGGACCTTAATTATGTCTGCAGAATCCCTTCATACATCACCTAGAATAGTGTTTGATTGAATAACTGTGAGAAGGGGTGGGTACACCAGGATCTGTGAATTTTGGGGCCATCTTAGAATTTTGTCTACTCCAGGTATATTGTAAGGGTCTTGGCAAAAATTCTAATTTGAGGCCTGTCATCTGTGCAAGTCTGTCTGGAGGTCTGAACCTTGCCAAGTGGCCCACCTGGGGCTGCTTTCTCAATTAGTGCCCAAACCAACCAAGTGTTAGCTTTGGTAACGGATGTTTAAAACTGTCCCTCAGTCAGCATATTTATATTTTAAGTAAGAGTGTCAATGCTTTAAAACAAATGAGTAACTCCTTTTAAATTCTCATTCCTGTAATTGTAAAAAGTGCTATAAAGTGTACACAAATTATTTTAGGATATGAGCCATTGTTGTCACTTTGAAACCATGTTAGGTAGCTATTTCCTCTCACATATTGGACCAACTCTGGTAAGAAGATGAACATACTTTAGAGAGAAATACTCTTGAAGGTAGAGTATTAAGTGAGTTCATACTGTCAAAATGCCTTCTTGAAAGGTTGTATCATTTTACAATCCCACTACAAGAGAGTGAGGATACTGATCCAGCTAATGATATATTTTTATTTTTTCAATTTTATTTTAACTTCTCAATATACATTGTAGCTGATTTTCATGTCCCTTTACCCATTCCTCTTTCCCCCCTCCTGCTTTTCCTCCCCCTTATCTATATCATATCTGTTCACTTGTCTTAACAAGTTCAAGGAATTTCTAGCTAATGATATTTAGCACTATGTATTATTATTTTTAACAATTTTGTGTTAGGATATGGGCAGACAATTCATAGAAAGGAAAATTTTTAAATAGTAAACATTTGTTTTTTTTTTTGAGACCGGCCACACTGTGCTCAGCCAGTGAGCGCACCGGCCATCCCTATATAGGATCCAAACCCGCGGCGGGAGCGCTGCTGCGCTCCCAGCGCCGCACCCTCCCGAGTGCGCCACGGGCTCGGCCCAATAGTAAACATATTGATACATCTTAACCTTACTCATAAGATAAATTAAAACTAAGAGATACTACATTCACCAATAGGAAAAGATCCAAGTTTGATAACACACCGTGCTGGTGAAGGTATGGGGAGAAGAGCACTCATGCTTTGCTGGTAAAAGAGAGTAATTTGGCAATATCTTTCAAAATTTAAAAATGAAACCTCCATAGAGAGTAATTTGGCAATATCTTTCAAAATTTAAAAATGAACATACTCTTTGACCTAACAATTGCACTTCTAGAAATGTATCCCATATTTTTGCACATGTGCAAAATGACATATCTACAAGATTATCCATTGCAGCACCATTTATAATAACAAAAGATTGGAAACAGCCTAAATTTCATTATTAGGCAAATAACCAAATAAATTACAGTATTTCCACACAATGGAAACCTTTACAGATATAAAGGCAGCTCTGTATCTACTGATATGAATCAATTCCCAAGATATTTCAGTTAAAGAAAGCAAAGCACAAAACAGTGTGTATATGTCATCCTTTGTGTAAAGAAAGATATATATATATATAAGTATATATATATATATGTATATGCAAAGGATATCTCTGAAAGATTATATAAGGAATTGGTACCAGTGGCTGCTTCTGGGGAGGAGGGTAGTTAGAGAATAGGAGGAGAAGGCAGACTCATTTTTATTGCATACATTTATTTACCTTTTGAATTTCTTCTCTTGTGCATGTATTATTGATATAAAAAAAAATCTTTTTTTGGCAGCTGGCCAGTAAAGGGATCTGAACCCTTGACCTTGGTGTTATAAGGCAGTGCTCTAACCAACTGTGCCAACTGGTCATCCCTAAAACATTTTTTTAAAAGCATGGCCAGGGCTGGCCCGTGGCTCACTTGGGAGAGTGCGGTGCTGATAACACCAAGGCCACAGGTTTGGATCCCATATAGGCATGGCTGGTTTGCTCACTGGTTGAGCATGGTGCTGACAACACCCAGTCAAGGGTTAAGATCCCCTCACCAGTCATTTAAAAATAAATAAATAAATAAATAAAATGCATGGCCAATTTGATACTTGAAAACTTACATCTTCATTCTCATTTTAATGTTTATTTCTTTGGTTATTAATGAGACTAATTTATTCTTTCACATTATCTACTTTTTGTTTAAGAGAAGATACTTAGCTACTTTGATCCACAATTGGGTTGAGTTTAATTGAAGACTCCCTCTCTGACTCTGAGAGTAACCCCACTACAGTGAGGGGGCTGCAGGTGCCCCCACTGGTGTAGAAGTCAGGAGACTGTTCCTACCCTCACATTAACAGCATGAGCTGAGGGAAGCAGTAGATGACCGTAGGTCACTTCTGGCTCTAACAGTCCGTGATTCTATCATGTTTTATTCCCCTCCATTCTCCAGTGGCAGGACCTCCACCTGAAGGAGAACGTTCCTCCATCTCTTTTGCTCCTGTCACGCACTTTCTACCTGATAGATGTGAAGCCAAAGCCAATTGAGATACCACTAAGTAGGGAGGTGAGTAACTGGGTTCATGGGGAATCTGGATTTCCATTGTAACCAGGGCCTCTTCACAAATGTCATTTACTCTTGCAGTCAGAGCAGGCATTTCTTTTGGCATATCTTTTAGAATGTGGCCCAACTAGCTTTAAAATGTTTTTTAAATTCCCCCCAAAATTAAAGCCACTCAGACTACTCTAGCCATAGGGCTGCTACTACCTTTAATCCCAACTTGATTTAGGAATTTTTCTAATGGAAGTAGTTTTTTCTTTCTCCTTAACTGTCGAGCTTCATTAGCAGACTGTTTTCCCCCACTTCTCTTTTCTCCTTTCAGACTAAATGGTTCCTATTCTTTCTTGTCTATATCATATCCAGATTCCTACTAATTCTTAAGCAGTGAATGGCTAATCTAGAAAGTAAACTTTTTCTTCCTTCAACTCATTTTCTTAATCATTTTTTGTTTACTTCAGCAAATGTTTTTCTCCTGGTATTTTACTGAAGAATCCAGGCCCAGTCACCAGAATGTCTTGCACTAGGGCCATCACAAATGGCCTCTCATTTCTCTACTCTGTGGCTTCACGCCTGACTCAGAATCTTCATGAGTGAGAAAGGAAAGATGATTGTTGAAGATACTGCACATGTGGTTTAGTAGATTAGTCTAAGTACATGGAGTGAGGACCAATCATTTTGATCTTAGTTATGCTGTTGACTCCTTGGACAAGCCAAGGAAAATTATTTGAAGTCCAGCATGAAAAATCTACTTCAGGAAACACCTTTTTCTTTCCTTTTCAATATTTCCAGAGAGTAATTTGGGCTTTGTCCAGGAAGGATTCTAGGAAGACTGGGAGCAATTTTGGAGTATAGACCATGTTCTAGAAGGCAGGCTCATGGGTTCTTACTCTATCACACTCCTAGATCCATTTCTTGGGGGAACACAATGTCTCAGAGCTAAATTTGGGTTCTCAAAATTATTCTAGATGGGCTTTCTGGAATGGTTAAGAAAATAATTAAGTACAAAATGACAGACTGCTAGGCATTTTGTTGGTTGTTTTTCTCATCCATGTTTTAAAATTTCTGTTCTCATGTATATAAAATGAGAACAAGTAGCATGCTAGACTCTGTAAAGAATTTAGAGACGTCAGGCTGGTCGGCTAGCTCAGCTGGCTAGAGCACCCTAGTAACACCAAGGTCAAGGGTTTGGGTTTCCAGATTGTCCAGCACACACACAAAAAGAAAAATAATTAGAGGCAGCATCAAATGGACTGTAATTTTTGATTTATGTAGCCCTTTCCCCTCCACATTACACAAAGAAATTGTTTCTGAAGAGCAGTGATGTATTTCTGTTTCAAATCTAATACAACTCTTAAAGATAGCTTAGCTGGCTATTCTATCACCGACCCCCATTCTCATCTGTTATCTATTCTAATACCACCCCTCCCCCATTTTCCTTGTTATAGGAGCTTCTTTTACACCATACCTACCATTTTAGTAAATTAGGCAAATTTATCATTTATTATTAGATACTAAAAATTATAAAGATGTCAGTTTGACTGTTATGTCAATGCTATTATAAATGGAGTAATTGAGAAATGGCAACTTCTTTTTTTTTTTTTTGAGACTGAGAACACAACTAGAATTGGCTTGTTAACTTTTAAATACTAAAATTAAATTCATTATTTTAAACACTAGAATCTAATCAGAGTGCATCTTCTGTTGTATATAAAGTGCTCCAAACTCAAATAGAAATAATACTAAGTTGCCATTTCAGGGACATATTTCATATGTGACTCATACAGGGTGCAATTGGAGGAGGAAGTTAGGGATTTAGTGGAAAGCAAGTTATGCTAAGAGGCACTGAATACTGTAAAAGAGCTTCCGAGTTTCAGGAAGAGCAGAAAGTTTGTGCTAATAGAAAATATTTGTCTCTGTAGGCTCCAAAGACAGATATTCCTGTGGCATCATCTACTTCCTCTGAATCTCAGGAGAACACGGTGGATTCTGTACCTCAACTGAAGAGAACTAAGGTTAGACAGTTACTTTCCATTTGGCTAATTAGGTTAAAGAAATGAAAATAACAGTAAGTTAATTTTCTCTATTTTCAATCCCCTCAGTGAAACTGAGTGTCAATACAATAGTGTACTGTACTGTTTGATCTGTTTCTAAGAAGGTTCGACATTCGGCTATATGTAATTAGGTTCCAGATTTTGACTTTTGAATCCTGTGCCAGGATATGAAGTAGTTATTACTAGTTCCTGATAGTCATGCCAATGCAAGTAGATCTAATACACATTTTGTTTTAAATCAGTAACCCAACTCTCAGTTCTGATGTTTAAGGATGAAGAATTTATACAACCGCCACCACTTACATCATCATCCACACCATCAACACTTCTTTCATTACCTAAAGGATCCATCACTTCTAAAGAAGCTGTAAGTATCTAAAAAAAGGAAACCCTTTTCCTCTAGTTACCTTAAAGGGTAGTGATAATCTAGTGTTATAACTTGCAAAACATTGCACAATTCTTCCTATTGTCCAAACAGGAAGTTGTAGGCTGAACTTGAGTCATCTTATAACCCCTGCATTTTTTTATGTCAATTATTCAAAAGCAAAAAAAAAAAAAAAAAGTCAACCAATACAGTCATGGATCATACCTAAACATGTTAAGTCTAGAAGCTAATTACAATATAGGCAGAGCCTTATTTTCTTATGTGGCAGATGGAAAGAGTTTCCATATGTTGTGTATTTTATGCAGGCTTCTGATGTCAGGAAATACTAGCGGGAAAGGAATTTAAATTTTAGGAGAAATGCATGTAAATAAGAAATTACTTATCCATCCACTTTTCCCATTTGAGTGAAGGGGTTTGGGGCAAGAACAGAAAGCATGACACAGGAAACAGTAGGGAGGCCATAGGAGTGCTGAACTGTGAAGTGGTTCTACTGGCTTCTGAGGACCAAAGGAGCTGCTGGTAGCGATCCCAAGGCACACAGAGGCCTTGTGTACCTGTCTTGTTTTTATTACCAAGGCAAATTATAAATTTGATTTTGTGGTCAGTCATTATTTTAAGAAAACAAAAGAGGGCTCCTAAGAAACTTCCACATCTAATTGTGACCAAAGCCTAAAATCCTTCTGTTTTATACTTAGACACTCCAGGCCAAATCACAAAAGACATCCCAGAACAGCAAGGCTAGTCAAAAAGGAGCATAAGGACTACTTGAGGATGGAGCTCGCCCTCTCCAGCTTCCGGCCTTCGGCAGTGGCACCCGTAACGGGCCTCCCAGCTAAGACTGTGTCTGGTTCAAGACAGGTGATCAGCAGTTTAGTCCTTGGGACAGTCTTTTGAGGCCCTCTAACCATCCAGATGATGTCAGCAGTGAGACCAGGTTCAGACCATTTAGAGTTAATAATTGCAAAGTCCATTTCCTCTGTACCATTATGTCATCTCACTAAACTTTGTGTCAAGCCCCCACCCCACCATGTTTTTGAACAGCTTCATATTTGTGTGCATGTCCTGATTTAAGAGAGGAAATTTTTTGCATAATGGAATCAGCTTGGCACCTTAGGTGCCTCTGCCTCCTTTGGCTTGGAAACTCCAAGAACCATTTTAAAACACCTGACCAACTTTTCCAGAATGATCTATCAATAGGACAGTGCCCTGGAAACAAAGTACCTTATGAGATGGGAACGATATAAAGTCTTTGTGGATATAAAGAAGAGAAAGCTTCTTGGAGGAGAAAATGGGGAGTTAGACTGGCAATCACCAAGGTTTGGCTGCTGCTTAGCTGTTCTGACAGACGGCCCCCTTTGGGCCCACAGAGGCTGCAGGAGTCTGGGAGGCGGCCACTATTCTAGCACATATGGCTTTCATTAGCCACCATTTTGCTACAAAACATAATTAAGGGTTTAAGACGTAACCATTTGTTTGTGCGGGGTGTGTGTTTTTCTGGTTGGCTTGTCTTTCATAAATAAGACTCTGTAATAGTCACAGGGGTTGAAGTCTGCTATAATCCCTATGCTACCCAGTAGCAAGTATTACATTCACGTATTTGTTTGGTGTTTTCAGTATTAATGCTAAACATAGTAGATTGTCATATGGCTGACCAAGAGCTTTCTTTCCTTGGGGAGTGGTTAGAAGGGAAAAGGTATTTCGGCCTGAGGGTGATAAAATTATATTTTTTTACTTGTTGTGAAATTGAAATCAGTTAGATGGGTGTCAAACCAAGTAAAACTCAAACTTGCTGTCTGGGATCACCTCTACGAGGAGTGTCACCAGCACTTCAGAGCAAGCATATGCACTTTCAAATGCTTCCTAAACCTCTGCTCCATTAGAGGACAAGCCCCACCACGCCCTGCTAATGAATGCCAGTTCCTTGAGAAGGAATCTCTACTGTGCAAATATAGCATTCCACGGATCTTGCCATTGGCTTAGCAAGGTGATTCACAATAAATCTCCCATTTAAAAATGATGGGTGTTTATCTTAATTAGTCCATATTTCAGGTGTTAAATGTGGGAAAAGGGTTAGCTAGTTAACGTGCTCGGTCCTGTTTTAGCTGAATGAGTCATATGTACTGTTGGGCTGTTCTACAATTTTCTGGCTTTCCCATTCACAGAGTGGGAATGGTTGGGTCAGGGATGCAGGTCACTTTAGGCCCCAGTTGGCCTCCACCTACTTTTGCTACATGGAAGCCCGTAAGACACTTGATGCACTGCTCTCCCCATCCTTATGATAGTAGCTCAGGAGTAAGGATGCTTCTTTGTTTTCATCGCTTAGGGTGTTTGGTTGTTGGGTTCAGTGATTGTCAGATCTGCCCCCAGGCTGAAACCCAGCTAGTGGTGTTCCAATAAATGATGAACCAACTCTGAGGCCCTGATTTGTAGCACTTGCAGATGCCAGTGATGTAAATACTCCACCATGGCTGATTTCAAGCCATCAACGTAGGGTCGTCACTGAACAAGGCAGAGTTGGGATGAGATAGATGTGCACAATCAGCCCTTGAGAGCCTGCTCCAGCACACCACTGGCCCAAGCCACTTTGCAGTAACAAGAGACAGTTAAACCTCCATTTAGCAGCATGTTCATTAAATGTATCACTTCTGTGTGCTAAGACATGCACTGGGCAGCAGTATGGTATAAATGGTCCTGAATACAACCGAGCTCAACTTAACAATGGTTCAACTTTTTTCCAACTTTACCATGCAAAAGTGATACACATTCAGTATGTTCCTTGACTTATGTTACATCTTGATAAACCCATTTAGGTTAAAAAAATATTGCAAATCACAAATGCACTTTCAACTTAACAGTATTTTCAACTTACAAGTTTATAGGAACGTAACCCCACTGTAAGTCAAGGAGCATCTCTACTGTTAAGCGTTGACCTAGAGGGAATTTGCCCCAGACTGAGTCTTCCGTAACATTTGGGTTCCTGCTGAACTTCCCTCTTTGGCTCTCACTAGCTGAGGGAATGGAAGGCTATCCAGGTGGCTCCAAACTTTCCCCTTTCCCTGCCCTCTACTCTCACCTGCAGATGTGGATGCCATGGTTCTACCAGCTGCTCATAATCTCATTGGGTATGATTTTAGGCATTCTCTAACACCCAGCCACAGTGATGTTGGATGTGGTCTATGTCTCACAGAGAGGTCTGCTACAACAGAGAGGAGTTGGTAGCACCTGACATTTATGGCCCTGCACTTGTGCCATGTCTAATTCTGTGCTTCAGTCATTACACTATGAGTCATCAGTGATGTCAAATCAATGCTTTATAATGCTAAAACCTAGGCAAAAGATTTCTCACTCATCACCAGTACACACGCCAGGTAAGGTCAGACTGATGTGTGGGTGTTTGTGCGTGTGTGTGTGCACCTGTGTGTGTTGGGTGGCTGGCGGGTATGGGGATCCAAACCCTTGGCCTTGATGTAATGTAACTAACTTTAAAGCGGACTGGGACATTAACTGTTGACTGAGATTTTAGTTTGCTGGCTCCACCCAGCGGTGGCTGATAAACACAGCGACTTCATCACCATTGAGATAGATCTCTTGCTGCATCTGATGTTCAATCTTACTTACCTGAAATCAATACATTACATTAGCGGTGCCAAGGGACTGATAATCCTCAGCCTGTGGCAATTAGACAAAATGGAAAGGCAGTATTGATTAATACTGTGGCGATCCTAGGCCCTAGTCTTTTAACCCTCAGGAAACCAGACAGATTCAGTGTCTTGACAGCACAATGTCTTCATTAGATAAACTGGATTCCTTTTCTCAAGAGACCCAATCTGGTCATCTCAGTAAAATGGCCATTTCATTTTCTCTCAGGTCAATTTCACTATCTTTTATTTGACAGCCAGCTTAGTCTTTGGGGAAATTCATGGGTGATTTGAGTAGTAACAGCGAGGACAGCACTGTCGTAATGGTTCCTTATATTTCTCTAGCACTCTCCTGAAGGCATATAAAGCCTTTAGAGATCCTCCATCCACTCACACAACATTGCTTCAAGCTAGGGCCAAGGCAGAAATTATCACTGTTTTACAAGGAAAGACACTACTATTATATGGTCTCAAAGCAAATGATTTTAAGAGCTAAAATTCATTTCCTGGCTTTGTTCACCAAATTATGCCTTCTTTAAACATAAACACAAATTGTAATATGTTGACAGTTGCATATTTAGAGAGAGAAGCAACGATAAGAGAATTTTACAATAGTGGCCAACACTGTAGCTACCAAAAAATACCTAGCTCAGAAAGGAAATTTATTTTATTTTTTTAAAAGATGACTAGTAAGGGGATCTTAACCCTTCACTTGGTGTTGTCAGCACAACACTCTCCCAAGTGAGCCACGGGCTGGCCCCTCAGAAAGGAAATTTAAAGCAGCACTCCTATTTTACCTATAGAAATGAAAGCATATTGAACTTGCTTTTGTATTCAGCAGTAATCCAGCAAACAGAAACCTTTAACATAGAGGCTGAGTAGTGGTAGGTTGTAGTGCTAGTGGTAGGTAGTAGATTCTGAGCCAGAATCTACTTGGTGAGAACAGTGATAACCAGCAGGTGGCAGAAGTAATGAATTTCCAAGGAGCCAAAAACCAGAAACATTAAGAGAATTTTTTCCCTTTCTTGAGGGATGGGGTGGAGTTTGGACAGGAAGAACTAAAGGAAGCTATGATCTATGACAGTCCCAACAAATGCAGTCTGGTCACGTGGACACAGGGAAGAATGGTCTAGGGGAAGATAATGAACAGAGTAGACTGGGGAAAATAAAGCAAAGGACCAGAATGTAAAACTAGCCTTAGGTGACAAGGTATTCCCTCACGGAGAAGCACAGGCAAAACCACACCCACACGGCGGGGTGGCCGCGTAGCTGGGTTTGAGTTTCTGCAGACCCTTGTTGGGTAATCCTTAGCTTTCCTCTTACTCACTTTAGCTCTAGCCCTTGGCTATTCCAAGGTCAGTGCCCCCCTCTTCCTCCCACGCCAGACCCCACCAGTCCCCTCTGAGGAAACAATCTGTGGTTGAGGGCTGCTGAGGCCTTGGCTCTTTGCCCAGCGCCTCTGCTGCACGGACAGGAGGCTCCTGCCCATGATGCAGACATCTTCTTTTCCAGCCTTTCCAGAAGCATCGGAGAGGCAGGAGGTTTGTCCTGGAGGTCTGGGTGAAGGACCTAGGAGGAAGAGGTTACAAGGAACCTGCAGGGCCCTCTGGACAGACATGGCCCCAGGGCCCACAAGCCCCCTCCTTTCCAGTGGACATGGTCTCCCTTTTCACACAGTCCATATAAAAATGAAGCAGCAGCAATTTTTATTGAGGGACCTAAACTGAAAATAGGTTTAGAACATAATTTAAAAAAATAAAACAGCAAAAGTAGCAAAAAATATATGACCTTTTAAAAAACATTTTCCTTTTTTTTCTTTGTTTTTAATATATAGCAACTGATGCCTCCCAGCCACCAGGAGCATCTTACCCAGTGGGTAAATCTCTGGTAATGACCCTTTTAAAAAGACATGTAAATATATACTCAGATTTATACACTTTGTGTTTTCTTCATAGCTATATACAAAGCCCCTGTTTGGGGCTGGGCCCCAGGGCCACAACACTGCTCCCAGCCTTTGCCTCCTTGTCCTCTGGTACCAGGTATTTGGTCAGCAAAGCAAATTAGTACTGGAATTAATAAGCCACTGGCACCATCCATCTGGAGCAGAGGTCACCTTCAGTTGAGGCTTGATGTACTGACCTCCCTATGCTGCAGCCCCGAGGACAAGGCACCTGCCACCAGAATGCAAGGGGCTCCCGGGTAAAGTGAAACAGACAAAACCAACACAAGTAAGCTCAGTGAGCTCTCACTCGCGTGCCGTTCATCTCCCACTCCCAACCCTCCAGGCAGCGCTAGGTGGCAGGGAGGGGTCTTGGTCCAACACGTGGGAGAGAACAAAGTGGCCATCAGCAAGTACCTGCCTCTTTGCTCCTCTCTCTCACAGCAGGTGGAGAGGAGGAGGAGGAACAGCGGTGAGCTCAGTGGGGCGAAGGCCACACAGGAAGGCCTCAAGTAGGCAGCTGGCTCCTACCAGCAGGAAGGGGACTAGGGAAAGGCAGTGAGTCCAGCAGGGAGCTGTGGGTGAGGGTCACAGCGAACAATGGGGTTTGGAAGGGAGAGTGGGGGGCTAGTCAGCGTCGTTTGAGTCCACCATTGGCAAGCTGGGCTGGGTGTCGGGGCAGACAGGGCTCCTCCGGCAACGGCTCATGAGAGAAGACAGAATCCTCTCCTGAGGAGCAGGTAGAGCTTCGGGTGTCGGGAAAGCTGGGAGAGTACTGGTCCAGGGGCATCGACAGGTCCAGATACTCCTGTGATGGGTGAGAGGGAAGGACAATGGGCAGGGCGCCCCTCCCTGTGGCGGGACCAGTTCCTGGAGCTGTGCCCCTGTGGTGATGGCCTGAGGTCCAGCACGGGCGGTCTCACCTGGTTGGAGGTCAAGGCCACAATGCGATCCAGGTCTTCCACCAGCTGCTTGAAGGTAGGTCTCTGAGAGGGGACTGCATGCCAGCAGTCCCGCATCATCATGTACCTGTGGCAGGACCGTAAGGTCAAGGAGGCAGGTGGGAAAGGAGGGCCTGTGGGAGGGCTGGCTGGGTGGGGCTGCTTCCTCTGCCTGCCAAGCCCACTCTGCCCAGGGCCTGGCTCGGGACCTCACGTGGCTCCTCAGGCTTACAGCTCATTGGTGCAGTTGCTGGGCTTGTCCATACGGTGACCCTCCTTCAGCAGCTTGAAAAGCTCCTCCACAGGCACACCAGGATATGGGGAGCCGCCCAGAGTGAAGATTTCCCACAGGAGCACCCCAAAGGACCACCTGTGGATAAGCACAGTGCCTCTGGGTCTTAGGGCACAGAGCGAGGCCACCCGCGGCTTTTCCACCAGCATGTCAGGTACTCATCCTGACCTTCGCCTCCCCCAACACAAATCCTGAATTCCGAGAGGGATACCAGGAGGCAGTGCGGAGAGCAGATGGGCCTTTCCGTGTCGGGGAGCAAAGTAAGTGGATATAGAAAATGTTTTCTTTTTTCTCCCCAAGATGCAGGGGAGACTGTCATCAACCCAGAGGGGAACGGAGGACTGTGCTGTGCTGGGAACTCTCTAGCCCACGTGTGCCTGGTGATCGCTTGTTACAAACTCACACGTCGCTCTGGTGGGTGTAGATGCGGTCGAACAGCGCCTCAGGTGCCATCCACTTCACAGGTAGTCGGCCCTGCAAGCAGCACAGGGAGACAGGGGTGGCCCGGGGCAATGAGGGGACAGGCAGGATGGCCCCAGGGGTGGCATGCACACCTTCAGCCCCTCCTACCACACAGTTTCTCAGGCAAAGCCACCCGCGCTGGGTCACAGAAGACAAACCTGAGCAGGAGGAAGCCTAGTGGAGGAGTGTCCCGGGCAGGGCAGAGGACACACGCCGGGTACACTGTCAGCACTTACGTTGGTCGTCTTTTTATAGTAGTCGATGTGGTGAATGTCCCGAGCTAGGCCGAAGTCTGCAATCTTCATTACGTTGTCCTCCGTCACCAGGACGTTCCTGGCGGCCAGGTCTCGGTGTATGCACTGTGGGGAGGACGGAGGAGGATGAGGGTGGGAGGCAGGTGAGGGACAACCGCTGCGTCTGAGTCCCTCCACCCTGATGCTCATTCTCAGTGGCCAGCGGACCTACTGACTCACTGGCCTCTCCCTGCCACATCACTCTACCCGCGGACCACTCTCCTTCCCTCCTAGAATGTTCTCTACTCCGAACGCCTCCAGCGCAGGCTTCCCAAGCACTTCAGCAAACCCTCCTTACTGGCCTCCTTTCCTGGTCCTCCCAACTCTTAGCTTTTGGGTTTGCACCAAAAGGCTGAACTTTTATGCACATGTCCTTTTAGGACAGGCACAGCATCCTCACACTGGGCTGGGGCTCAGACAAAACCTGTACTAACACTCTCACAGGCACAATTTCATTTTATTCTTATTTTATATTGTAAGATGCTATGTGGCTGCCTGAGGCTGCACAGAAAGTGGCAGTGCACGTATTTGAACTGAATTCAGTCAGTCCCCAAAGCCACTAGGCTACACTGACTGGAGTCTGTGTTCAGAATGTATATGATTCCACCAGAGGATTAAAAGTTATAAGCTGGAGTACCAGGAGGACTCTGTCTCCACCCCGACTTCACCCACGGATCCTTCAAGCGCCACACCTTCTTGGAGGCGAGATATTCCATGCCTCGGGCCACCTGATAGGCACAGGACACCAGATCCTTGGAGGAGAGCTGCTCCTCTGGGTTGTGGCTGGGGTTGTAACAGTACTCCAGCCCAGGGGGCCTCCGGGCCTGCAGGTACTCCCGCAGGTTGCCCTTGGAGGCGTACTCTACGATGACATACAGAGGACCTGGGGCACAGGAGGAAGAGACCATCAGGGCAGGCAGGAGGCAAGCAGGTCTAGTTCCACCTCAAGGAAACCACCCCAACAGCATGCCCACATTTGTTTCCAATCCTAGCCTCCCCTTCCCTGCATCCGCTTTAGGGGACCAGGGAAACACGATGACATACAGAGGACCTGGGGCACAGGAGGAAGAGACCATCAGGGCAGGCAGGAGGCAAGCAGGTCTAGTTCCACCTCAAAGAAACCACCCCAACAGCATGCCCCACATTTGTTTCCAATCCTAGCCTCCCCTTCCCTGCATCCGCTTTAGGGGACCAGGGAAATTCATTTTACTACCCAAAGAAAGTCACAGAAATAATTCTTCCCAGCACAGTCCAGAAAGTTCCTGAGCAAAGTTGGGGATAAGAGACTTAATTTGGACCAGAATTACTCATATGTTCCCATCTACACACTGTGTGTGTGAACCTAGGTGTCCGCATTCTTGAGTGACCACCAATGGGCATCAGGCCCAAGAAATACAATCCAACCACTGCTCACTCAGCCTCTCTTCTTAACCCCCTTCCTTATGCGTGGCTGAGAAAGGCCTTGTCACTGAGACCCCGGCCCAGGTCTTCTCCCTGATGGCATGAGGCCTATACCCTGCCCCAGGGGCGGCGGGAAGGCCAGCCCGGCTCGGTGCCCACCGTCCTGCGTGCAGGCCCCCAGCAGGTTGATGATGTTCTTGTGCTTCCCGATCATCTTCATCATCTCCATTTCTGAGATCAGGTCTGACAGGTCTTTCTCTGTTGCATCCGCTTGACACCGAAACCAGAGAGAGGGGTGAGACTCATTTACTTTGGGAGGAAGGGAGGCAGGAGAAGAGCTAAGGGAGAGGGGAGAGGGTGCATGCTGAGGAGCCCCTGCTTCTCACCTCTCCCCTCCCATCCAAGTTTATTTTGCCTTCCCTCTTATGGGAGCTGTTGTTACAGTATGTGTTAGTGACTGGCAGGGGATGCAGTGAGAACATCAACCAGAGATGGAATCTAGGATAAACACCTAACCACGGCCCAGGTGGACGCCACGTGACATGATAGCCATCTCGGGGTGCAGCATGCCCCTCCACTCCCAGGTAACCCTAAGCAGGCAGCGTAGCACACAGAAGGTGTTCTACTTGGCCCAAGGCCCACAGTTTGCTTGAAAAGGGTAGGGGTTGTTTTTGCAAGGACGGAAACATCACTTACACTTCAACATCTTCACCGCCACTTTGGTCACACGGTTGGGTTTGTCCTTGTCCAGCCCAACGGCCTCTGCCAACACCACCTGCCCAAAGCAGCCCTCTCCCAAGGGTTTGCCTAGGACCAGTCTTTTGAAGGAAACAGAGAACAGCATAAGCTGTGGCTGGTAAAGTTCAAACCTTCAGAGGACACCCTACCTCCACCTCTCCGTGTCTCACCCAACTGCGAGTGGAGAGTGCAGATGATTCCTTCTGCAGGCACCTCATGCACCCTCACTCCCCAGAAGGCTTTTGTATACACACCTTCCAGCATCAGAGTAACAAGCAAGGGATGTCCTCGAAAGGCTGGAAGTTAAGAGCATTACCTGTCTCGAGGCAGCTCCCAGCGAGGGTCTTCTGGAAGCTCATATTCAGAGACCCCAGCCAGCATGGGGGTCCCACTGGAGGAGAGACGTGAGGGTCGAACGAGAAGAACCCCAGAGTTCATGGATGCGCTGGAGTCAGCTGACACCTGCAGGGAAGAGTGGGGTCACCCTTCCAGCAAGGAGAGGGGAAGCAGTGGCAGACTCCTTCCTGTCCCTAGACAGGGCTCTCCACCAGTGGCCGAGCTACGTTTCTGTGTGTCTGGTGTTCCTTCCCCAGCGCGGAGCAGTAGAAAGACCACATGAGGTCAGAAAACCCGAGTGCGAGAACTGACTTATTTCCAACAACCACTCACTCTACTCACCTTCAAAATGTGCCGACCAGACGTCCCTCTTCAGGCTTGACATTTCTTAACTTATCCTGAGGTCAGAAAACCCGAGTGCGAGAACTGACTTATTTCCAACAACCACTCACTCTCACCTTCAAAATGTGCCGACCAGACGTCCCTCTTCAGGCTTGACATTTCTTAACTTATCCCAATAGCAACTCTATTCTTGCCCCGATTCTTTGCAAAAACCCTGCCTCAGATTATGGATTCTTAACTCCCAAAGCAACTTCTAGAATTCACAGTGTTCTGTGTGAAAGGTCACTCTTTTACGTGCTTTTACCTTCTGCACCATTTCTTTACACGAGGGGAGGGTGGGCACACATATTTCCTTACACAAGGGGAGAGAGAGGGCATCTGGGGACCAACTCAGGTCCTCTTCTTTACCCTGTATCTCTGCACCTCTCTCAATCCATGTGCCAGGTGAGCGGAGGACTTGCAGTTGGGGTATGGAAAGGTACAGGGAATTTATGGGCTAGACAAGCTTGAAACAGACTCTGGAGCACTTAATTCAGGATGTTCCGCTGTGCCTGGCCCAGAAGTCAGAAAGCAAAGCCCAAAGTGGTAGATTAGGGACAATGGAGAGGGCAGGGTATGAGAGGACCCTGGAGAAGCCTCTGGAGGCACAGGGAGAGAAGAGGGTGCCGAGCATGCAAATCCCCCATCTACTTTCTGTTACCTGTCTGCGCAGGGGGATGCTCTTGGCCAGCTTGTGCACGGCCATCTGGCTGTGGAAGTCGCTCTTCTTGGTGCCACTTTTCATCTTGTAGATGATGACGGATCCCACCATGCAGGAGATGAGGAAGGCCCCTGTGCAGTAGATGATGATCTCCAGGTACAGGGGCGACGTCATCACCGCTGGTCTCTCTTCCAGGGCTGAGTCAGTGTGAACAGAGTGTGAGCAGGCTCTGGGGCTGCGTCCGTGGGGCCCTGCTCCATTACAAAGATGACACCCATCTCCTTTGCCCTGGGAACTTTTAGGGAGGAGGAAAACCAAGCCACATCCCTGCTAGGATTGGGATTCTGGCACCGAAAGGATCAGGCATCCTATGACATGTGAAGCTTCCTTAAACTGATTCCAACCCCATAAGAGGGATGGACTAGAACTGTCTTGCTACACAAGTCCGATCCTCATTCATTCCAAGTCTCCTTGCTCAGCTGGACTGACTGCTGGGCTAGGTGGGCACCAGGTACCCTGCAAGGGGCACGGAGAAGTCATTCTGGATGCCTTTCTCAGTCTCCTCCTGGAAACGTGGCCCTTCTCTGCAGAGCCTCAGCACTGTGTGCATACACCTATCACATGAGGACAGATGGACTGTTTCTGAGTCCTTTGTCCCTGGGAGGCCACAAGGTCCTGGAGGGCAGGACTGATGCCTTGTCCATATCCACGTGCCACAGCACTGGCATGTTGTGGCACATGCAGAATGAGGACAAACCAAGCAGGGAGGGAACTGGCTGTGTCCTGACTAAATATCCCACCCACATCCGTGCCACCTCTGCCGGGCCAGACCACAAGCAAAGCTGATTTAATGTCCGGACATGTTTGGGCTGCTCTAGATGAAAAAAATAAATGTTTTTACAGTTCTTAAGGATTCTACTCACAGCCCTAACTCATGAAACTCAAGGAAATGGGAGGAGGGTGTTTTATTCTCTTCTCCCACTTTTGTTTAGAATTGAGCCCCCCCCCCCCCAGCCAAGCCCGTTCAGTCCACCTTCCATTCACTATGAGAGGGCTGGGAGGGCTTCACGTCCGCACGCACACGAGCCCTCTT